GCGTGTGCTGCAGGGAACCACCGGCGACGCGGAGCGCGCGAAACGGCTGCGTCGCCTCCGCCGGCTGCAGCGCGAGGGGAAGATCACCAAGCGGACCGCGCTGGAGGACAGCGGCGTCACTGCCGCGACGGGCGGAAAGCGGCCGGACCGTGGCGAGGAGCACAACAACAACAGCAGCAGCTGCGACTACGACAACGACGACGACGACAGCGCCAGCAGCACGGGATCACTGTCGCGCCTCATCAAGGCGGCCAAAGGCGAGCTCTACTCGGAAAGCGACGACGACGACGGCGGCAGCAACCCCCACGTTGGTGAAGAGGACAAGAGGGAGGAGGAGGAAGAGGTGCTGCAACCCGCCCGAAAGAAAAGAAAGCGGGTGCGGCAAGCGTACGAGTAACAGATGCTAATGCAACGCTACTTTATAACGGCGTAAAGAAACGACTGGCTGCTCGCACAACACCGAGTAACACTTTCCACCTCACCCCTTCCTGCCACACACCACAACTGTTCTTCTATGTTCATCTAAAACATGTGCCACACTACCTGCTGGCTTCTCACCGCCTTGCGCTTCCTCCCCCTCCTCCTCCTCCTCATCGTCACCGCCAGGCTCAACACACAGTCACACACCACAGAAACACACGCACATATCTATAGAATGGCACACCACCACAGACATAGTACCCGCAGTCGCACCGCGGCCTCCTCGTGGGGCTTAACGGAACTCACATGCCGCTGTCGGGCCTCCCATCTGCTGGAAGACACACTACCCTTTCCATAACTCCACAATAATACCTAACACGGGCAAGACTGTCCATAAAAACCCCTCACTACTCCCATGAATCCAAGCAGTAACAGCGTTGTCGCAGACACCTGCTGCCTACCGCACTGCCCGCTGTGCGTGCTCTCCCGTGCGGACCCTCCCACTCCTCTCTCTCTCTCTCTCCACCACCACTGCCTCTTCTTGGTGGCAAAAACTCTTTGTTGTTTTTTTTTTTTAATTTTTTTTACCTTTTTTCGAGTGGTGAGGTTTTTTTTTTTTGCATTTTGAACTCTTGTGTATTATTGTCGTGTTTTGTGTGCGGGATCTTTTCGCTTGTGTTGTGGTGTGTTAGTGGTCTTGTTGCTGCTATTGTTTTTATTAAGGCTCCTCTTTCTTTGCTTTCTTTGGCACTTTTCGTTCTGATGTAGAGCGGTGTATAAGTTGTCAGTTCGTCATGGTGTTGGTTTTCTTGTTGTGTGGTTGTCTCGGGGGGGAGTTGTCTGGTGCCCTGTTGGGTTCGCCGTGAGGTGATGTAAGGCACCGACGCCGTGCGTGGGTCTCTTGGTTGCATGGTGGTCTGTCCAACGGGTCTATCGGCGTCTTGGATCGCACTCCCATGCTTGTGTGCGTGGGCGCATCACTACAATATGAGCGGAAGTGTTTACTGCGCCCGAAGTTCTCACTCCGTTGGTCTTTTGCGTGGTTATTGTTCTTGACTTATTGCCGCGATTGGTGGCGGCGTCACTTGCGGCAAGCCGTGCTGAGTGTGTTTTGCGCCGCTGGTTGTGCGGCTGATGCATGAGAAGAGATGCCACGTGGCATTCGCCCCGGCATCCGAGCAGCGCGTCGTTGGTTGAGAAAGCTTAAATGATATTTGCGTGACGTTGCTGATTGGAACGGTGCTTTTCGTAACCGCCGATTTGTGGTGTTCGGTAGCATATCGCCCGCGACACACTGCGGCTCACGGCTGAAGAGGGGCGACGCGTCGCCGAGCTGCACGCGAGGAACGTTTCATTTAGCACCAGTAGTGGGGCGGGGTTGGTGTGCCCGGACCGGTACATATTTGTGCATCTTGGGTTGTTTGGTCGCCACCACAACCAGCTGCAGCAGATGATGAACACGATTATGTGGGCTGAGCGGCTGAATCGCACCGCTGTGTTTGGGTGGTTCTACGCAAAGAAAAATTATACACCGCTGCGAACTCTTTATGATTTCTCAGAGATTGCGCGGCGCTATTGTGTGGTTTCGTATACGACGATGCGGAGTCGGCTGGCCAGAACGGGGGCGCTGCGTGGCGCGAGTGTTGGCTGCTACGGCTTGCGGCAGTGTCTCGTGCCGAAAACTGTGCGGAAAGTCGCGAAAGGTATGACTTTGGTGCGGGACGTTGACACCTATCTTTACGCGGGGCCAAATGAAATCAACATTGTCCGAGACCGTGCCGTGCCACAACTGATGGCAGCGAACGAAACTCTCGTTGTGGTCGGCGCGGCAACTGCCTTTTTTCTCTGTCGCGGCCTCGCGGACCATGCAGCGATTTACGGTCTTCTGCGGCCCTCAGCATTCGTTGAGCGGAAGGTCACGGAGTTCCTCGACCGCTTCTTCACACCACGCAACCACTTCTTCGCTGTCCACCTCCGGCACCGCGAGGGGTCATGCCCACGGGAAATAGCCAGAAAACTCGTCCCCTTGGGAGCTGCGTTCAAAAAGTCCATGGATGTGGAGCGGCTGCAGCTGCTCTACCTGCAGTGCAACGCCAGCATCCCGTACCTTGCTGCGCTTCATGCGTCGCTGGGACTGCGGCTGTTTTCGTTTCCGCTGTTCGTTGCGCACGACGGCCAGGACCCCCACATGCTGCCGTTGCTGACGTCACGGGGTGCACGGGTGTACGACGCCCAGCACTACGACAAGTTCGAGGATTGCGACTACGGACTGTGCGCCCTCACGGTGGACTACTTTCTGATGATGTCTGGGGTGTACTTCAGTGGAAATTCGATATCGTCTGTGTCTCAGAACGTGTGCTTTGCCCGTCTGGGCCGGGGCCAGGCCTCCCACGGTATGGATCCTGAGTACATTCGCATGGTGTCGCACGACGTGATGGATACATCAACGTTGCCCGCGTAGTGTTGGTTGTTTGTGTGATGCCACACAAATGTGCGCATTCTTTTTATGGTTTTATAAGTAAGCATTCTTTTTGCGTTTACGAACTGCGATGCGTCGGAGACTTGCTTGGTTTGTGGTATTTGTGCCTGGCCGTCTGTGACGGCTGCAGGTGCTGGGTACGGTGGGCGTCTGGAGTGTGGGTTTTTCATTGGGCTTTTTTTTTCCTTATGTGCTGTGTTTGTTTGGTAATATGAAGGCATGGAGCCGTGTTTGTTTTTAGTTGGGCCTTTGGAGATTTCAGGTTTTGGGGTTTTGTCTGTTCTTTGCTTGCTGTTTGCATGCGGTGGGGCCTGGGGTCTGCTGCGTGTATTTATGTTTTGGTTTTTTCATTCCTTCTGGGTTGTTTCTGTGGAAGCAAGGTGCCTCTCCTGCTTGTGGGGCCGTTGGGAATGCCGATGCTGTACGTTAGAAAGGTCAATAAGATTGCATGGTTGAGGCGGAGGTTCCTTTGCGTCGCTGTTCTCTGTTCGGTGGCTGTTGTGTTGTTTGTGCTCTTAACTGTGCTGCCGTCGTACAGTACTGCTGGCGATGACGCACGCGGTCTGGTCTTGGCGTCCGACCTGAATTCTCTGCCACATGGGACCTCCCACAGACTGAAGGAGTGCGATGAGCCGCGCCGCAGTTTTCAGCCAATGGGAAACTTTGTGTTCTGGGGGAGGGTCATGAACACATCCGCGCCCTGCCCAACATCGGGCATGAATAACCAGCTCATGATGATCATGGGGAAACTGCATTGCTTTGCCGTGAACGAGTCGAAGCACAGTTTCCCTGCTGGGGGTGCGTCGCCCGTGGCCCTTTTCAAGTGGAAGGATATTTCATGCTCTCCAACCGGTGGGAAAGAGGGGAGACAGCGCTACGCGGTCGGGGGAGAGGACTATGCGTATTCGTGGTTCCGCTGGAGCGAGTTGCTGGACTTCGCGGATGTGCGTTTGCGCTTGGGGAGTGGCGATGCTGTCGGGCACGCCGGCGTCAACCTGCTGTCGAACGGTGAGGACAGCAACGCACGCGTGATGCAGGAGCGCGCTTCTGAGGAGCACATAACTCGCGTCTGCCTCTCTGATACATACAGCTGGAGCGAGCAGCCGGCGCTCGCTGCGTGCCCCGCGTCGGTGGACCACATATGGGGCACGCCTGTGTACTGGGATCTGCGCCGGTCGCTGCAGCTGCACCCGTGGTTCTACCGCGCCGCGGTGGACTTCCTGCGGCGGCAGGGTGTGGCGCGGGCGCCGTCGCAGGAGCACCTGCACACCATGATGGCACTCCACGTGCGTCGCGGGGACTACCAGAAGTTTTGTAGCGAAAACGCGCGCGGTAGGGGGCGCCACAAGTACCGCGTGCCGCCATTTGTGTACTTGAAGCGCCGGCAGCACCCGAACGTCACAGTCATCGGGAACAGCTTCGAGGAGGCGTGCTTCCCCAGCCTGCAGCACGTCGTGGCGGCGGTTGCACGAGTGGCGGCGACGCACGCACACATCACGACGGTGCTGCTCGTTACAAACGCGGCGTCGTTCCGGCAGAAGTTGGCGAAGGCGCTGCGGAGCCGCCCCGACACGAGTAACTTGACGCTGCTCAGTTTTGTTCCGGCGTCGTCGGAACAGCAAGACGGCGAGCACCCGCCGCCGTACTGGCTGCGACACGCCACGTACTATACCACCGCCGAAGCCGCGTGGATGGACACGACGCTTATCTCCCTGGCGCAGGTCATGGTGCTGAACCGCTACAGCACATTTAGCCACTCTGCGGTCGACGTGCACATACTACGCGAGACACGGCTCGCGGCAAATCTCTTCTGGTGGTAGCACAAGGCGTTATCTGCCAGAGGATGGGAGGCGAGATGCTTTTTGGTCTCCGCCACACACATACGCGTAGACGTAGCCGCAAACCCGCATTGCAGTGTGGGGATGGGGGAAGCGGTGTCAGGAACGGTGGAGTGGTGGCACTATTTCTCTGCCCGTTGTTGCTTCTCTGAATTTTTCTCTATGCCTTACTGAAACACGCTTCCTTTTTGTGCTTTTGTTGTGTCTTCTCTTGCATCAGTGCGCAGGCGTGGTTTGTGCGGGGTGGCCGGTGGTGCATTCGCTTCAAGAGGGGCGTGGATGCGTGGCGCGTTGGTGTGGCGGCACTGCGAGGGGCGGTGTGGGGCGTGTGTTGGCGCCGTCGTGGACGCCATCCTCGAGAGGACGGGCGCGTGCGGCAGTGACGAGGCCGACACTGGAGGGAAAAGCCCCCAGGCGCTGACGAAGCGGCGTAACTGTGCACCGGATGGAATCTCGGCGGCCGTGGAGCGCGGGTCCAACCCGTTCTGCGTGTCACTGCGGCCAGAGCGTGTGAAGCGCGGCGCGGCCTCAAGGAAGGCTGTGGGGGGTGTGGTGGCCGAACGCACGAAGAAGACGAGGGAGCGGCGTCTTCTGGAGGTAGGAGGCAAGCGCAGAAGGGCGGCGGGGGCGGCGAAGGTGAGGGCGTCGGTGGCCGTGGCAACTGCGGTCCCGCCGCCACGTGTCCGCCGCCTCACCGCGCGTAAGCTTTGCTCACTGAGTCGAGGCACAACGAAGGCGACGACGCTCTTCCGGTTCTTCNAGACAGCGACGGTTGAAGGACAGTCACGCCGCGTCAAGAGCCGCCGCTGTCGCGCCGCAGGTGGAGAGGCGCCCCTCACCGCTGCCTTCTGGGCGGCTGTGGCTGCCGTTGTGCAGCAGCGCGATGCGTACGTGAGGCAGTGGCATGAGCTGTGGGTGGCGCACTCCTCCAGCGGCGGCGGTGGTGGTGGTGGTGGCGGTGGGTTTAACGAGAAGGATGAGGATAAAGCGCAGCTCGCGCTGCTGCGCGCATTTCCGTTGTTTGGTCTCGCAGTGGTAGTGGAACAGCTGAGCTGGCGGCAGCGTGCGGACGGCGCGTGGGGAGCTGCCGAAGTTGCCAGCGTGGCATTTGGCGTCATCGTGCATGAGTCGAGTGCATTCCTTGGCGTTGTTCTTCTGCGTGCGGGGGAGGTACTGGCCGTGGAGTTGGCGTCCCTCCGCTCCCTTGCCCATCAACAAGAACAGCAAGGTACAACTGGTGTGGGAGGAGATGGGCCCACAGTGCTCGCGTCGCCTCGAGTTCTGCGCGTTGCGAAGTCCTTTCCCGGCGGGACGGGAGT